ACATAAATACAGTTTTAGCGGGGGTCGGTTTTTATGCCAAAGTAGACCTACATTTAACTCTTAAAATATAGACATATTCATTCATATCATAGTTATTCATTAAAGAACATTATAGTGGAATTTTACAAAAAAAAATTTTTTTTCAGGTCCATAATGCCGAAGATTTGCCGCAAGAAGTTTTTGGAGCATGCAGAAGATGGAGCGATTTCGAGCCTTATAGCCTAGTTTAATTACTAACTATGTACTATAAGTTTTTACAAGTCACATATATCAATAATTTGTTTAATTTGTCTGAAACTGTCTTATTTATGTATACCTCCTATGCATAACAGGATGTCCCACATTGTACCATTTATTGTCCCACTTTGCACCATATGCTGTCCCCGCTTTGTACCATATTGCTGTCCCACCTTGTACCAGGGGTCGGTGCATGTTGGGACAAGTGGTATAAAGCGGGACAAACGGTTTTTGGCCTTTTAAATATAAGTTAATAATTTTGAAAAAAAAATATCATTAAAAGTGTTTTTAAAAGTGCTTTATTTTTGTGTAAAGATTGTTCTTCTAAGTCAACTAATATTGAAGAAAAAAATGTTTTAATATTTTCGTCCCAGTATGTACCACTCTCCCCTACATCTTATCCAAGAAAAGACATACACAAAGTCACATGGACATCACCAAATAGAAAAAATAACAACCAAATAGATCATGTTCTAATAGATCTCAGACATTCTAGTCATATCATCAAAGGATGTAGCATAAGGAACGCAGAATGTGGGTCAGACCACTACCTTATTTTAGTCAATCTACGACAGAGAATTAAGATAGAGAAACTAACGATAGAGAAACTAACAAAACAGAAAAACTGCAACAAATATCAATTTTGAAAAGCTAGGAGAAGAAAAAGTAATGAAAGATTTTCAGCCTCAAACTGTCTAACCGTTTCCAGGCTTAAACAACCTTGATCAAGAAGACTCAGAGGAGGAGAATTGAGAAGGTTTGGAAGAACATTAAAGAGAAGAGACTCGGCAAAACTGTGCAAAAGAGGTTTATGGGAAAAGGGAAAGGAAGAACAAAAAACCATGGTTCGACGAAGAATGTAAAGCTAATGTCTCACTAAAGAAAAAAGCTTAAGAAGTCTGGCTCAATAAGAAACAAGAAAGAGATAGAGAATACTATAAAAAAACTCTCAAGAATACTTAGGAGGAAAAAGAGAGAATGGGTAAACAAAATCTTAGAGAAAGCTGAACAGGACAGGACAGCAATCAACAGTAGAGACGTCTACCAATCAATAAGATTTTTTAGAAAGGGATACAGTCCAATGCCACATGGGATTAAAAACAAATCAGGACAACTGGTGGTACAGAGCAAAGAAGGACTACAAGTATGGCAGCAACATTTCAAAGATCTTTTGAATGTAAGACAGTCTGAATAAGAAGAAGAAGAGGAGGAAGCGTACCAGAATGTAGATCCAATGGTCCCATACCCAACAATTCAAGAAGTAGAAACGTCAGTCGAGGAATAAAATACCCCCGCTGCAGCAAACCTGCAGACTAAGCAAATTCCCATTTGCCTGATTGGATTTACTCTATAATATCTCCTTAAAAAATATCACATTTATTCCCTATTTAAATAGCATTAGTTTAACAAGTACTTAGGTTTGCTGCAACAGGGAGGGAAAGTGTTTTTTTTTATGTTAATAGTTTAGTATGAAGTAAATGCATTTTACAAATTTGATCAAAATATCTCCGATTAACAAGCAAACTAAACCAGTTTACTTATTCTCCATAAGAATAACATAGGAATTTTAAAAATAAAAATTGTTGTAATTTTCTCTGTAACTATTAGGGGCATAACAAAACAACACTTGACTGTACTATATTATTGTTTTTTTTAGCTCTAGAAAATGGTTTGGAAAGAAATTGCAAATTTTTTTGTTTTTAGGCTGATCATGCTGGTTTGCGAACTCGTTCAAATAAATGTAGGCTAGGTTTACAAATATATATGAATTATATATATGAATTTGAACGGATGGTGTTTTTGGCCTCTGGGATCATTAAAACGAAAAAGTAAATCGGTCCCAGGTCCAGGTCTTACCATGAGACCTACGGTAATAGCTTATTCCCTAGGGGAAATTTGCTAAAATCACTTTATTACCCTCCTTGTCGCAGCAAACCAAGGTACTCCTTAAACCTAATGTTATATAAATAGATTTAAGTAAAAATCCAATCAGGCAAATGACAATTTGCTTAGTCTGCAGGTTTGCTGCGGTATTTACATGAATTGCAGTAATCTTCTATTTGATTACTTACCTTGGATGCTAGTTTAGCGAACACTTCATTGGAGTCTTCAACTGTGTTAAGTTTTTCTCTCTGGAACTGAAATTAAAATAAATTAAACCATACTCAATTACTAAGCAATAGTTTTATTTCTAAAGGGGAATAACAAGGAAATACAAATCACAACATAGAAAATTGAATGTTAAAAACTAGTCATGTTTGACAAAGAGATCCTTTTATCATTGCAATCTAATTTTAAAATTGTCTATTTTATACAATCATTAAATTCTCTAATATTCCGACATAGTACAGTGGAATCCATCTCAATAATATGGTATGTTTGAGACTTTGGCAGTGTCACATAACAGAAAATGCAAGATTAATGAGCGCCATCTAAAAAGCCATTATTTGAAAGTAAGGCTTCCTCGGTCACAATCACTAACACTTAGTCACTAATACTTAGTACTGTAGTGAAATAATATGAGAGATTAAACCAAACCCCTAGGTCTTCTGGGTCCGACCCCGTAGGACCATTTAAAGTAAACCATTTAAAATAACAGTTGTTAAGCGCAGCAACGCACACTGGGTAACGCTAGTATAAAAATAAACACTTTTTCCCCAAACTTTTTTACAACTAAACCTATTTTACTTTTAAAAGTGTACCTTCAGAAATATAATTTTTAGTGTTAATTAATTCCGCTATACTAGTCAGTAATTCAGCAATTATGGCAATCCAGTTTTGCAAGTACTGAGCTAGATTTATGAAGGTCTAATGTAGTATCAAATCAAAACAAACTACTGAAATATAAAAAAAATAAGTTTTTAAATTGATTGTCAATCAAGTGAATTGCAGAGTTAACTATTTTTGAACTGATGGGTTTATGAAATTTTAGCATTTAATGTGTAGTCTACACTTTTTCAATTTTGATTACCATTGACTATTAGATACTGTATTAATAGTCAAAGCTATTACATTATTTTCCCAGGTGTGCAGGTTTTATGTGTTTTATGTGAGGTTAATAAAGGTAAATAAAGGTTAACAGTTAGTTATCCACTGTGGTTGGTTACATACCATTTCTTGTAGACTGTATTTATCATCATCAGCAAAATATCTCATCCTCTTGCCTCCAGTGTGGGTCTCCACTTTCTTGCCTCTCCGTCGTCCGCCTGAAGACTCTGAGGGCTCGGACAGACTCACAGGTCGAGTAAAGCCCTTGGAATCTGTGTGTGTCAAGATCACAACCTCCTTGGACGCACCTGAATCTTTGGGTGCGTTGGCCTTAGCTTCTCTTGCTTTGGATAGTTTGGCTTTCAGCTCTTCTGCTAGACTCTAAAATCAAATAAATGATTAGAAACTAATTAAATTAATCAATTTTGCAAGATGTAAAGTACAACATCCAAACAAATCAGACTATATGGGTTGAATGAGTCAATGAGTTTTATAAAACTAGTCTGTAATTAGCAAAGAAAATGGTGGTTAACACATTCACTATTGGTGGCAGGAGTCAAAACATACAGAAAAGTTTAATGCTGGTGTTAATAAATTACAAGATGGAATTTGAAGCCTCAACCTAAGGTGCTGTCTCTCCTAGTTGAAGAAACAACATGTTCAGCCGCTCAGTCATTGATCAAACATGTTTAGTACCCCATAGTACTGGAGCTAGGGACAGTTGTGAATGGAAGTATCAGCTGATCGGGAAATCCAGGCACGACGTCATCACTGACTACGTTCATCCTGACCGGCAATCTAGACATAACTCCCGCCCGATCACGTCGTGTTCTGTATGCCTACCGTTTTCAGTAGTCCGTGTACGTGTTTGTGTTTTGTTTGTTTATTTATCATCTATTGACGACCTTCGAATGAAGCGAGAAGACATCGTTAACAGCCTGAAGTTGACTGCCATGTGAGTTGAAACCGGTAGCAACTCAGCTACAAACAGGATCGCAAAAATGCAGGTATTTACACCAGTTTATAGTATTTAAATGTGATCAGGAGGCTAAAATTCAATATAACAAACATGTTTGGTCAGAGGTTATAACAATTCTGGTCAATAGCCCAATAGTAGATGTTCTAAATATAAATAGTATATAAATTATATATATAAATAGTAGATGACAATTTGCTTAGTCTGCAGGTAACAAGTACTTATTTTTAAGTGCTTATTTTTAGGGTGCAGGTTTGTGAGGTACAGATTTTAGCCAAGTTTTTGAGTTAAACTTGCAAAAGTGTGTTATGTTAATCTTGATAGCAGATTTAAACATGAAACGTCACAATTCTTGTTAATGATTGGTAAGATGTAAAATTTATTTGTAAAATGTGTTGATAAGTTAACTACAACAAATAAATAATATGCAATTATTTAGGCCTACATTTATTTAAAAGTTAAAATGGTATAAAGTTACCTGATTCTGTGTGATGCTAAATTATTGTAGTGTATTTATTAGGGATCTGTGGGACAGAAAATTTAAGGTCGGTACGGTACAATAGTTTGTAGCTCGGTCCCCGGTACAAAATCGGTACGGTCCGGGGCTACCATTATTTTTTCCATTTTCTTCTCAGAATTGTATTTAAACGAATATTTTAAATTTTAATACATTGACATTAGTATGAAAATGGATAGTATCGTACATTCATAGTTTTCTAACAACAATTACAGTCTATACATTATTAAACCTTTACTCCTAACAGGATTGTGTCAAGAAAGAAACACAGATAATATGACTTTACCTATGTTATTACTACGATAAGGCATTGCCCTGATGGGTTTAAAATTAAGTTAACAATTTTTTAGAATAAATATTATGTTTGAAACAACAATTTGATAAGATAGTTTCAATAACCACTAGTAAATTATTTCCAACTAGGCCTAAACACAATAACTGGATCTTCCTTTTATCTTAGGTTCAATTCAATTTTCTTAGTATATTTTAAAGCTTTTCCAAAGAATCAAAAGACCCAGGCCTAGACCTCATTATTTAGGAATATATTAATTTTATTGGAAAATTTGGTAAGATTTTTTTATATTATCAAATACAAAATTTAAAATTAATCCAAACAAAAATGGCGGTTTCCACTACTTATGTGATTTAAAAGCCAAAAACGTTTATAAAATAAAGTGGTATGGTTGAATTTTATTTCTAAAAATAAAGCAGACTTAAATGCAAAGATCATCTTGTGTTTTGATAGAAAAAAATATACTTACTTGGTTTCCTAATAGTTCTGCTTTAACTAGTTTAGCAGCAAGTTCATTAAGTTCTTTATCAGTTAAAACTGGTTCTGCATCAGTTACCAATGAATGTTTGTTATCTTCAACATCACCTGTAACGTCTTCATTAATTTCTTTAGTTGCCTCATCACATTTCTTATCTCTTTCTATACCAATTTTTTTATCAACTTCTTGATACTTTTTCTGTGATTCCACTTGCTTCCTCCATCCTTTGCCAGAAGAAGACATTGATTTGTAATCTCTTGATTTATGATTGTACTTTGATTTAAAATCATCTTCTTCACTACTATCATGACGTGGTCTTGCAAATTTCCTGTTGGAGTCTTTAGCTTTATTTCTATCTCGGTTCTTATTTCTTCCATCACTATCTTCTTCACTACCATCCCGACGCGGTCTTGCAAACTTCCTGTCGGAATCTTTTGGTCCATTTCTATCTCGATCTTTCCTTCTTCCACCACTATCTTCTTCACTACTATCCTGACGTGGTCTTGCAAACTTCCAATTGTAATCTTTTGCTATATTTCTATCTCGATCTTTCCTTCTTCCATCACTATCTTCTTCACTACTATCATGACGTGGCTTTGCAAACTTCCTGTTGGAATTTTTTGCTCTATTTCTATCTTGATATTTCCTTCTTCCATCACTATCTTCTTCACTACTATCCTGACGCGGTCTTGCAAACTTTCTGTTGGAATCTTTTTCTCTATTTCTATCCCGATATTTCTTTCTTTCACCATTATCTTCTTCACTACTATCTCGATGTGGTTTCATAAACTTTTGGTTGAAGTCTTTTTCTCTATTTCTATCTTGATCCTTCCTCCTTCCATCACTGTCTTCATCACTACTATTAGGCGGCTTGTTAAATTCTTTGAGTGAATGTTTTGTTTTTCTGTCATACCCATATTTTTTAGATTCATACCTATCCTCTTCTACACTATCCTTACTGCTTTCTGAAGATTCGCTTACTTTCTTTGACCTTTTTTTATTTGATTCTTTATGTTTACTGTCATATCTACTTAACTTTATTCTGTCATTGTCCCTTTCAAAACTATTTTTACACCCGTAATTTCTCTGTTCGTCACTACTGTTTTCACTGCTGTCACCAGGTTTGGAAAAATTCTTTTTTGAGCTCTTTATCTGTGCTCTATCTTGTTGACTCTTGTGTTTCCTATCTTTATATTGATCATTACTAGAGTATCTAGGCCGATAATTAGAGCTGGATGTCTTATTTTTATCACGTTCCTCAGCAGCAGCTATCATGGTCTCCAACTTTTCTAGTGACTGTAAACAAGTTAAAACACATTGTAAATTTTTTTAAACTGTAAATTATTTAAGTTTACCAAAATTAAAATTAATAATGGATAGTAAAAAATTAAGATGGAAAATGTCAAATGGATACAAGAAGAGAGAATTCCAAGAAAATATGAGTTGATGGTGATGGAGGAAAGGAGGAGTGACATGTCAGAAGGTGGAGGAAGAGGAGCCACAGAAAAATGAAAGACAATAAAACACCTGGTTGAAGCCTGGTCCCAAGAATATCCAGAAAGGAAGAGGATATCTATATCTATAAAAGAGGAAGTATGTATGAGAATGAGAATGAGATTTTATTTGCCAGTTAATATTCCATACAAATACATTGGCACGTCAAATTAGTCATAACATAACATTAATTAAAATCCAGTGGAGTCAGTGTTCTTGACATAATCTTCTATTGAGTATAATGGCTGATTACAAAGAAAGTTATTTATTTTAATCTTGAAATCCTTATCACTAAGTAATCTTATGGCTATTGGTAACTTGTTATAAAATTTACAATTAATGGTCTTTTATCAGACTTAGCAAGTCTAACGTAAGGAATGTATGACCCATGAGAAAGTATGACCCACTACATTACTGTCATTAAAAGAAGGAACTCCAATAATACTAATGTGAAACTTAAATCTACCCAAGCTGTGCAATGAAACCAGACTGACGATTTAAAAAATTACACCAAACTTGATCGAAGCAACAATCAGTGGTGAGTTTAAAGGAGAAATAGTCTTAATCCCAAGATTATCGATTATTTCATCCGAAATACCCTTTGAATTCAAGCGACTACAATTTCCTTAGCGTCTTGCTTTCGCAATCACCATTAAAAGGCACGTGGGCAATCCCTGATTATTGCCATTTTAAATTTAGAAAATGCATGCTTTCCACACGGACAGCTGTATGTTGCGTGCTCACTTGGTGGTAGGTACGCCTAAAAACTTATATATTTATATACCTAATGAAAAAACTAAAAATTTTGTTCATCCAATGGCTATTAAGTAATATAAATATTCTATTTTTGTTTTCGGTATACATTTTGATTATTTATCGTAAAGAACAAATTACCATTTAAAATAATAGTTGTTAGCGTAACAACGGGCGCTGGGTAACTGTTAGTACAAACATAAAAAGCTAATCTAAGCATGGTTCGTTAGTTGTAAATCCCTGAACTTCATGTGCCAAAATTAAAGAGCCTTCAAAGTGTGGGATCAACTCATATTTTTAACCAAGCTACACTGAAAGGATAACTTAACATCAACCATAGCATACTTTATGCCACATTAGTTATCAATGTATGATAAATGGAGAAAATATATAACTGTTTCAATAGCACACTCAGCAAGTGGCTCATTCATCATGTTTAATTAAATTAAAGATTGGCCACAGCTTCATTAAAAGATGGTGTAGGAAATAAACTTGGATGCTATTAAAATCATGTTTTTCCTAATATTACTATAAACTACAAGAAATAAATATTTTACTGATACAATACAATTCTTTTAATAATCTGAATAAAAACTGTTTACATAATTCTCACAATGTACAAAAGCAACTGATCCAGAACAATAGCAAATTTAAAAAGATCAGCAGTATTGTAAAAAGGCAAAAGGCAAAATGGAACCAACTACTGATTCCAACAGATGGGATGCCTACCCTAGTCCTAAGTAAATTAATATAGTAAATCCCCAGAAACTTAATAAGTCAAGTTTTAATTAAGTATAATACAGGAAAACCTTTATTCAGCCAAAACTTAAATAGTTTTCAAAGTATGGTATCAACTCACGCCCCACCGCTCAGCCACCACCTCAGCTAATGGTCTGCCTGAGTCCTGTGCCTGCTCCTTGGCTCGCTGTAACGCCTTCTTCAGCCAAGCAGCGCCTTGGTCTCCCACAGTCACCTGCGCTTGTCGCAGAGATTCTACTGAAGCAGCACACTCCTCTGGTAAACCGGAGCCACCATCCTTCCAGTACGGGTTGAGCTCACGATCAGTCCGGCCTAGCTGAGCCGGATAGACAAGCAATAACATTTTGATACCATACAGATAAACCTATGACTCCTAATGTAATGAAGATAGATCATACAGAAAGCATATGGTACCAGTTACGAATAACAAGTAGGCTACTGTGGCCAAAAAATTACCATCATTTTTGGAATCAGCGCTAAAAAACTAACAGTTTAACCCTTTTACTGCCAACCGGTTTTTTATATGTTACTTGAAAAATGCCGGGTCTAAGGTAAGACTAATATGCGAAGACTGCCAGACCTGATTTGAGGAAAATTCATTATTTCACAAAACCTTGTGTATTTTTTTATTTTATATCAGAATTTTATAAATAAGGCCTTGTTTTGTTTCTAATAAACAACCAGTCTTCATAAAAACATATAATAATTATTATAGTAAAAAAAAAATTTTTGTACATAAATTTATATGGTCAAAATTTTTTTATATTTTATTTTTTAGGTTTGGTGTACAAAAACTATACCTAAAACAAACACATGCATAAATGTAATTATTTTAGTTTGTAGAGCATGCATAGGTTATTACATAAACAAACTTTCATGCCCTTACCTTGAAAATTGTAGAACCGAAGTTGTGATTTTTTTTCAAAATTTCGTCAAATAAAAGTTTACCCGTTTAGGTATAAACACTTTACTAAGAGTTTGTTCATGATCATATATTCACAAGTGGCCTAAATGTTTTGTAATTCACAATAATGTACATTGCTAGAGAGCTGAAATAATGGGAAAAAAAACTTATGTAGCCTACAAATAAATTTAAAAGAATGTTTACAATATTTACAAATGAAAAAGTTCCGATCATTGGCATTTGTGTTCACCGAAACACGTTGGATGAACCCCTTTCTTGCATCTCTTGCAAACAGTCCTGCTCCTCTTCCTGGTCCCTCCTGCACTTGTACTTTGTAGGCTACACACAGAACAATTTCTTAACATTCTTCCGGGTAGAGATTCTAGGCCGAATCCAGAAGCTTCTCCAGCGTCTCCGCCACCGCCCACCTCAGCAACATGTGGCTGGTTCTTCAGCATTAGCCAATCAGTAGAGAGCTCTTCAATTATGGAGTTGGTATAGTTAAAACTTGACAGTAATTTACCAGAACAATTTTCCTTGTAAATGATATACGAGTTGAGAATCATCCTGCCAAATATATTAAACACGACCTTCTTCCAGTACTTGACAGTTCTGCGCTCATCTAAATAACAGTAGAGCATTTGGTCTGAGCCATCAATCCCCCCCATATACATATTGTAAGTATCTATAATTTCAGGCCTCACTTTTGGGTTTTCTTCATGTCTTTTCCTTCTTCTGACTTCCACTGACTTTGCAGATGCTTTTGTAGAGAGTAAAAGCACTGGTTTCTTTTGAGAAGCTTTTTCTCGATATCCCAAAAAAAGCGTGTTCTCCTTCCGCAAATACGTCTTCTGGCCAACAGCAAATTTTTCTTTCAACTGTGGAGGTATTCCTTTTCTATTTTTCCTAATTGTGCCAGTCATGTAGGTTTGGTTTTCGTAAAAGTGGTTCGCCAGAGGGATGCTCGTAAAAAAATTGTCAAGGAAGAGATGGTAGCCTTTTTGCAAATACTGACCTATCTCTAAAAGCTTGGTGACAACTTTGAATGCAAGGCCAGTTGATTTTCTCTTGTTCTTATTTCCTTTGTAGCAAAAAAAAGCCAAACAATACCTGGAGACAGAGTCACACAACATCCACATTTTGATGCCCCAACGATGGTGGTGCTTGTTGGGCAGGTATTGCATAATTTGCGAATGACTCTTAGTGCCAACCAGGCTTTCGTCAATTGATATCTCACGATGAGGGGTGTAATAAGTCCTAAAAATCCTGTTTGCATGATCCAATAGGGGGTTAAATTTAGCACAGGGGTCATAATTTGGATCACCTGGTTTAGCCAAAGTGCTATTGTCGACTATGTGGAAAAATTGCAATAGACACTCAAACCTGTTCCTACCAAACATTTTTCCAAACCAAGGTGTTTGAAGTGATGATTTTGTCGACCAATAGCTTTGAATAGTTGGCTTTCTTACAAGACCCATATTTAAAATTGTGGCAATGAAGGCCTTCATTTCCGGCAGGGTGACATTTTTCCAATCCCTGGCACGTGAATTTGGAGTCAAGTTATGTATATGTGCAGTGATATACATAACTAGTCCCTGGCATACTGGTTGGTCCTTAGCACAAAAGAATTCAGGAGATTTACAGTAAAAAATAAATTAAAGTACGATATTGGAGGTGCATCATGTGGGGGACAATGTTTTGGCCCAGGCAATTCGTCAAAAGGAAAAGTATGGTCAAAACCAGGATCGTTACCTTCATCAAGGGGATCCCATCCAAGATGTTCATCAGCGTTAGAGTCATTTAGATTAGCATAAAGTACATCTTCCATTTCCATTACATCACCTTCTGGAATTTTGAAGTTGTTTACAACATCGTCAATAACTTCGTCGACTGTACTGTGGACATCAGCAGTGGGAGTAGGCCTAGGCCTATGTCTAGGTTGGGGGATTTCATCTTCTGAGTCGTCAGAGGGGTCTGAATTTACCATGTAATCAGGGTCTTCGTCCGTATCGTCCTCAAATTCTGGACCTAATCCTTCACTTTTAGAATCTGAACTGGGTTCTGAGCTCGACTCAGAAATATTGTCTACAAAACTATCACTCACATCACCATCGTCAACATTCACCGTCACCCAATAGGTTGTTTATTATTGTATTTTCACTCACCGGCGACCTAACTCGTCTATTACTCATTTTTACTAAAACTCAAACTAACCAAACACATGCATAAATGTAATTATTTTAGTTTGTAGAGCATGCATAAGTTATTACAAACAAACTTTCATGCCCTTACCTTCATCACAACATTACTTTTATAGCACTAGTAAACACAAACAATAACAAACACCTTTCCATTCGCAAAACTCAACTAAACACAGATGACAAACGATCTAGACATAGTAGAGAAGTAATCAGCAACGCACAGACCAAGAGCAAACTCAAACTATGTGTTGTGTATTCACATGGGTTAATTTATTAGTTTACAGTTTGATTCCGTTTATATTTGGAGCAGGGAGCTCAGCCAAAAGTAGTTTTTAACTTTGAGATTTTGCAACATTATATCCAGTACCAAATGTGGTTTGAGGTAATTCTGGAAACCAGCATTTGCGTCACAACCCCCACCACCTTGAGGTTAGATATGGTCGGTCCTTGTGAACCACCAACTTACAGTCAGAATCAGCCTAGGCACAGTCCAGCCAACAACTAGCTGGTCATGATTCTCCCGCTGATATTAGCAGGTATGTGGGGATAGGCTAATAGGAGATTTACATTGCCCGACCCTTGGTTCAGTAGTAGGTAGCCCTCCCTCTAAATTATACCCTTTTAATAATGGGGATTTCTCTGTGATATTAGCGTAGTCATGTATTAGTAAGATATTATAATTTGTATTTATTTGCTTATCCGCTTAATAAATGAACCCAATTAACATCACGCCCGAGTATTTATTCTGGACACCCCACCCACTAGCGGATACAACATTTGGTGTCAGAAGTGTCCTTTTTTTTTAAAGGGGGATTGTACTTTTTTTTAAGTGGGTGTAATTCTTTTAGGGGAATGTCCTTTTTCAAGGGGTATGTTATTATAGTTTAAGGATTCAAGTTCATATGGGGGGATGGATTTTTATTTTTCTTGCGATGATTAAATAAAGGGGGTTGTTAAGTAAAAAATTGAAGTTTGTGGTTGTATGTAAATTATAAGGCGAAAATGACGGGGATTCAAGATAGGGAATTTGATCTCTTTCGTACCCAGTTTTACTACGATTGCCTAGGTCACCTATTTACTGAAAATAAAATAGCTGAATTAGTATCTGTCTATGTGTCTGATTCAAAGACATATATTTTGTGCGAGAGATTGACGCATAATTTTTTTAGGAAATTTCGATTGATGTCTGTAGAAGTAATAGATGAGGTAAGGGATATTGGAGCCGTGTTACCGGGAATTATAAGGGTTTGTAGTGGCACTCCGGGTGTGGGTATTCGTGCGGTACAGGTACGCACTAATTATGCTAGCATTCTATTGTGGGAACGTTAGTGATGGGTTATGTATATGTCAGTATGTATGTCGACGATAGGGGATTTTTAAAATTTGCCTGGTGATGATCTTGGCGGTATTTTGGTACTATTGGTGTTATATTGGTAGTGTTGGGCCGGAATCTAAAATAGTGGGCTTAACGCTGGGCAATAAATTTACTAAAATTAGCGTGCCCTCGGTGTTGGAATATCAGAGGCCGTTTGGCACAGCTTCAGGGAATAGTTAAATGTAGTGGGAGAGAGTAAATTTTTTATAAGAAGTTAATATTGTTTTGAAATTAAAGGAAAAATAAAATATATATTATTGATACTTTTTAAAGTAAATAAATAAAAAAAAAGCAAGTAAATAAATGGTTGTTTTAAGTAATTTGTAAAATTGTGTTGTTGAGTGAAAAATGTTTTTAGTACTTTTTAGTAATTGAGTAAATTAAACAAATTGACTTGACAAATGTTATTTTAAAGTAATTAAGTAATATTATCATTAAAATCATTTTATTGTTGTATTGAATTAAATTGAAAATGGGAGTTCGGTCCTGGTTAGAGGGATTTTTCTTGGGAATATTAATTGGCATAATGATTTTGTGTGGGTTGATCGGAATGTTTTGGTGTTATAGTGATGTTAAATTGATGTCTTTTTTGGTGCGTGGGTATTTAATGTGATTAAGTGATAGTAATTGTTAATTGAAATGTAAAAGTGGGACCCACATTGATAGTTTGTTTTTTTTGTTGTACTGGAGATGGGATATTTATTGGTAGAAATTTTTAGAACGTCCTTAATAGTAGCCAATATGCCGGAATTGATCGCGGGGTAATTTGATCAGGTCATATAAGCGTGGCGGCATTGGGAGGCAGCTCGCGGAGCCGAGGTGTTCCTTACAGAGGG